TTCTCAGCAAACGCTTTAATATGACCAAATAGAACTTCTCCTTGACCGACTGTCCCTCCGAAACAAATTCGTGTTGCGCCAAACCATGATTATCAAAAAACAATGTGCATCACCTTGATTTTTGTGCGGCTTTGAGGTAGTGTTCTTRGTTTCGACTCGTATTCCGTTCTGATGATTGCTGAGTTGTTTGTTTGCCAAACTAATGTACCGAGGTCTCATTGCATTCCAAATCCAAAAAGACCGGTTTACGCCACACTTAAAAAAAAACAATCGGGACAAGCCGGGAAAGCACACGTTTCGTATGCTAAATATCCACTAAAACCATTCGWAWGAACTCGCGAGARAYKTCGAGCTCTCTTGCCATCACTTTAAAACTTACCTGACGTTTTTAAAGCACCATACCCTTCACGTTATTAATATTCTCATCAGTTGAAGAGGTCGAAGGTCGTCCAGAACCATATTTCGACTGTTTTTGAAGGCTTTGTACCACTCCTAGGCTTGTGTTTTTGATAAAACTTAATCACCGTGCGCCTTTTTCAAYACTTTCGCATATTATTTACCCGGGCAATATAATTACAATTTTCGAGTGTCTTTTGTCATAATGTAAAAGAGTATAAACAGATCTGTATCTTGACTTTGACCGGTCATGATTCGGTCTAAACAATTTATTACGATATTGTAGCACTGATTTGAATATTAATCTATATCTGATTTCATAAAGATATCTACACAAGTAGTTGATTTTGACCGATGAGTTCGTATGACAGATATATCCCACAGTAGTCCAATATTGATCGCATAGATAAATGAGCAGTTTCTTGGGGAGAAAAAGCCTTGTACAAAATTTTAAATGGATTTTTCAAAACCTGCAATAATATTATGTAGCAATACTATTCTAAAGAATTTCAACTTTTTCCAGCATTCGTTATCTTCRAACCATTTAAAGATAATAGTATTAGTTAATTGTACATTACAATAACAAATTATTGTTATTAAGAGCTTGTAACTTTGCTGTGAACATATCAATATATAATTGACTTACAAGTAAATTTTGAAGTAACATTTACTTTGTTTTAATTTATTTATACCGCCGCTTTAATTACAAATCTTAGTTTTAGAACAATTAGGTTATGATTTTCTCACATCAGAATGCAGTGYTGTTTTTTAGAATAAGAATTTTCGCAGCCAATTAATTGCACTTGAGTAAATTTTATTCGCACAAACCATATGCCGATTGCAGCCATTAAAAAGCAATAAATTAACATTCGAAATGGAAATATTATTGACGTATTGAAATATATAATTAGTTATTGTATATAAAGAAGAAGCACTAGTAATAGTAATAATTACTGAATAGGAACGCACTCTAAACATTATATACCCTAC